TCTCATCCAGGAGCCAGACGCGCTCGTGGTGTGCCCGGCCTCAACCGGCAGCTCGCCCATTTTTTTCATTCCTCCGTAGCTCCGTTGAGCGAGAAAAGAAAACACACGTGTAGAGGGGGGGCAGCGAGAGCCGCGGGGCCGGGGGGCGAGGGAGCGAGTCCTAGTGCGTAGTGGGTGTTCTCAAGCGCGCCAGAGCTTGGCACCCTTCACACATCACGAAGCAGGAACCCGTCCTGCGCAAGACACAGATCGCTTCTCTCGCCGCGTACCGCCACCCACCCCCGACCCCGCTGCCGCAGAAACGCACGCGACGCACACCCCCGCAAGCAGCAGAGCTGCGGCAGCTGCGGCCGGCTGTGGCTAGACATACCTCACCAGCATCAGCGTCTCGCTCGTCCGCAGCAGCGCCGCCTACAGGAGAGGGACACTGGCGGTGGGACTCCCGCCCCGCCCCTCTGCGGCACCCCTCGCGGTCGTGCCTCGATCATCGCCGAGCGGCGGGTGGGCGGCGGGGGCGAGGAGGTTGGCTGCTCGCCCGCTTTGCTCTGCTCCGCCTCGAGCATCGTCGCGAGGCGGGCGTGCGTCTGCAGAAGCTGCGCCTCGAGCGCGCGGTAGGCGCGCGGCAGGTCGACGTACCACAGGTAGCAGGTGGTGCGCGGGTTGTGATCCACCGACCGTGGCACCTACCAGTGAGCATCTCGCCCTCAACGGACACAAACTCGTCATGCTCACGCGGTCTGTCTGGCCGACCGGCGGCGCCTCTTGCAGCGACGCGAAGCCCGCGCTCATCAGCGTCCACAACAGCGGCCGCGCCTCCTTCTCCGGCATGAGGCCGAGCTCCGCGAGCTGCTTCAGCTCGAGCCTACGCGGCACACGCAAGCACAACTCCGCTGGTTGGCGCTCGATCGGCGAAGCCAACCCGTCGCCCTCTGCGGCACGCCGGTACACGCGCGGCACGCCGTCTTCTATCTTCTAGGAAGGTTCTAGGAAGGTTCTAGGAAAGTTCACCGGTAGACGCGCGGGACGCCGTCTTCTATCTTCGGGCAGC